AGAGGGCTGAAAGCCCTATGAAGCGGTATATAAGTCTACTGCTATTGCTATTGCTATTTGAGATGGTCTCCCCCTCCCCACTCATCCCATGTTGTATTAAGTATGAAACAGAAACAGAAACAAGGATTTTGGAACGTACCACGAGGACTCCAAAGTCCATTCTAATAGCAGTCCTCGCCTCCTTCTCCTCTACATCTGCCAGAGGGCAAAGCCATCTCGCTTCTTCACCTGGCTCTCCCTCTTATCTGTACCCCCTTCCTTGACTTGGATTGTGAGCCGCCCTGAGTCCCCTTCGGGGGGGGGAAAAGGGCGGCATATAAATGCAATCAATTCAATTCAATTCAATTCAATTCCCTCCCGCCGTCCAGGGCATTCCGCTCCCCCCGAGAGAGATTTGAAGACCCGGTGGGCGCGGCTTTGCCTTCCCACTTGATCCTGACCGCAGACAAGAGGCAAAGGGAGCGGCGGCGACCTTCCCTCCCATCGCCGGGTGGAGAGAGGGGTGGGTGGGTGTAGCGGGCGGACAGCGGCGGTGGTGGCGCCCGGGGCGATCCATCCCCAGAGCCAGAAAGAGATCTTCCGAGATCCCGGGTGGACGGCCGTCCGGAGCCTGTTGTACTTACGGCTTTCTCTAGCGCCGGGGCCGATGCGCGTAAAGACGCTTCGTTCTCCCTTTGTGTGCCTTCTCCTCACCACCACCACCACCGGGTCGCCGTCGGGGTCCACTCCGGAGAGAGCCGGACGAAAGGCGGGTGGCGGCTCGTTCTTTCTTTCGCCGTCACACTTTCAGCGAGGCGCTTTCCACTGTGGTGGGGGGGAAGCTCGGCGGGAGGTGGGCAGGCGAGCCACCCCCCTCCGTCTGGCGCTGCGGGCAGCGAAAGTTCTCCGAGAGGCGCCGCGGCGGGGAGCTGGGGGGGTGGCCCGCCGAACGGCCGCTCCTCCCGCTCAAAAAAGAAGGGGTGCGTTGCTTTCGCGCCTTAGGATGCTTGCAAAAACGCGGGGTCGCGATCCTCCCCGTCCGCCGTCGGAGGTGACTTTTCCCACGCGTGGGGACCGTTTGGGTGGGCAACGCTTGCTCCCAACGCGCGCGGTGCTCGCGCCGGGCGGAGTGGGAAAGGGGTGCCGCTGTTGCGCGTGGAACAACCCCCCCCCAAAAAAAAACACCCCACGCCCTCCCCCCCGAAGTTCCCGGAGCCGTGGATCTCTCGTCCCCGTGGAACACTTGCCCCGGAGGCTAGCAGAGGTTGGGAGCCGGTGCCTTCCTCTCCTTCTGCCGCGTCCCCTCTTCTTCTTCGGATCCAGCGCCGGTTCCCCTCGCTCCGTTCAAATCGACGCCGAATGATCTGACCCATAGAGAAATATGTAGCCTCTTCTTCCATAGACGACCCATATGTGGGCAGCTTTCAGGAGAGAGAGAGAGAGGGTGGGTCAGATCGTTGCAAATCGTGTCCCCCCATTGGTTGCTTGGCACGCCCAGGACTCCTCTTATTGGCCACGGGCCCTGAAGATTGATTCTCTGTTTTTTGAAGAACGGGCTTGGATATCAGAAGGGAGGATTTTGCAGACGGGCTCGCCAAGGACCAGACGTTAACCCCCAACACGCCGGACGCACGAGGGAGGGAGGGAGGCAAGGAAGGAGGGACCAGACAACTCGCATTTCCCAAGGCGAATTATAGACCATTACCCATGCCTATCTCATTGTTAATTTTTTTTTTCAGGAGACCAAAAAGATTTATTACTTACAACAGTGTTTCTCAAGCTTGGCATCTTGAAGATGTCCGGACTTCAACTCCCAGAATTCCCCAGCCAGCGAATGCTGNTGGCCTGCTTTCCGGGTCTACTGGTGGAACCTCTTCTAACCGGTTCAGTAGATTTGACGAACCGGTTCTACCGAATAGGTGCGAACTGGTAGGAATCCACCTCTGATATAAGATAACCTCAACGCTTTCAAACTGTTGGGGACAGTGCCAAGAAGAAATCAACCTTACGGAATTTAAGAGTGGCCACTGAGCAGAATCCCTCCTCCAAATCTTCTCACATTCTTTCTGATTGACTCAGTTGGCAAACAAGCTTTAACCTAAGAGAAATGGACATGACCATCTGGATGCTTTCCATGCTGGCATAACAACAAACTCCAATGCGTTCCCGGTGTACACCTCACAATGTTAATTTGGGAAGCTGCATGGGTTTTTCTACGAAACCCATCAAAAAATGTTCTCTCTTTCATCAAATGAGCCTTCGCAAACAACTGATCAACGCAAGACATACAATTACAAATTTTACACTTGCATTCTTGTCAACCAGATACTATTTGGAGTGATGAGGCATTAAATATAGTGGCTCTTCTTTCTAGTCAATGTTTTCCCCCCCCCTCCCCTAAGCACATTGTTAATGTTCTTTCTGGGAAACAGACTCCGATATCTTTGTAACATCTCCGACACTTCTCTTAAGACACACGAACAGCAAATGTGATTCTGGGAGCTGTGCCAGATCCATCTCTAAAATAACCCACCTACTCATTCACACGTTACAAAGGTGGATAAATCAGTTCAGACACCTTAAGACGTTTATTGGGAAATACAGCCTGGGAAGAAGCTATCAGATGGAAGTATTGTCTTTTCAACTTTTCAACTCATGATCTGTAAAAGATCTAATCCAATATTCTTCTGAAAGAGAAACATTTCCTTCCTGGCAATTAAGAGTTTGGAGCAGGTCTCGACCCAGTGCTGATTCCTACAACAGTGTCTCTATTTTCTGCAAATAAAATTCAGGTTGCAATCCTCTCCTTGGGTAGGAGCAAGAGTCAATGGAATTTCTTTTTGTGGAGACCTTTTCTGCATTTAAAACAAAACTGGCGCCATAGCGTGTTTAGAAGAGCCGAGGTAATACCACTTCTTCAGAGAAGTTGTCTTCTTTTGTAATTTACCAGCTGTTCTAATCTATTTTGAAAATTTCTAATTTACTGTATATGCTTGTATATATAAGCCTACTGGTTGACAAGCTGACCCTCAATTTTTTAACCAAACTGCCAGAAAAACGTGCCACATACAAATAAGCCAACCAGCATTTTTTTATGGTATCTTGGTTAAAAATTGGAAGATCTGACCATCTGAGGAAAGGCTTATACCAGTGTTTCTCAACCTTGGCAACTTGAAGATGTCTGGACTTCAACTCCCAGAATTCCCCAGCCAGCATTCCTCAACCTTGGCAACTTGAAGATGTCCGGACTTCAACTCCCAGAATTCCCCAGCCAGTGTTTCTCAACCTTGGCAACTTGAAGATGTCCGGACTTCAACTCCCAGAATTCCCCAGCCAGCGAATCTCAACCTTGGCAACTTGAAGATGTCCGGACTTCAACTCCCAGAATTCCCCA